CATCTCACCTACAACATGAACTGTCTGTACAGGCCAGAGGTGGGAACTAACAAAGTACAAATACTTTTTTACTGTACCTAAGTAGATTTTTCAGGTATCTGTACTAGAGTATATGAGTATTTATTTTACTGACAACTTTTTACTTTTACTCCCTACATTTTAACACAAATATGTGTACTTTCTACTACTTTCAATTTCAAATCAAACTTGTTAATTTTAATACATTTGGAGGGAGTTATCATTTATTTTTATTTTGCACTTGCTCAGCTGCACTGAGTGACGTTTCTTCATTACAAACTCTCTGCTTTGTTTACAGTCCACTAGCTCCTCGCTCTTTCACAGCGATCCCACACATGCACAGCTGAAAGTTGTTTTATTTCAGACACTGTAAAAAGTTATGGTCACTTGAAGTTTGTTTGAGCAACATATACACTGGTCTAGTGTTTTGTAATGAAGTAACATGTCGCCCAGTGCAGCAGTGTGTTTCACTGATGTGTTTTTAATTGGTTTTGAACAACAACAAAAGAGGTACTTTTTTATATTTACTCAAGTAAAGCGTTTGAATCGGTACTTTTACTTCTACCAGTTTTTTTCTTCTTACAGAGGTATCTGTAAGAAGACCAAAACCAAATAAAGATCTCACCCAATGCACCAACTATCAGCAAATATCAATAATTAATGCTGATATAAAAATGAGGAGATGTTTTTTTTTTTTGTCTTTGCTTCACTTCAAGCCATACTTTGTTAACTGGATTAAAACACTTTACAAATCTCATACTGCACCTGCAATAACCACTGGCATTATATCCAAACCACTTTACGATATTTAAAAACAGGCACTTGACAAGGTTTACACTTTCCATAGAACACCTGACAGCAGCAACAAGACAATTTAATAATATTTTTGGAATTCAATGTAAATCATGCCATCATAAAATAAATAAAATGAAACAAGTTTAAATGCTGATAACTTATTCTACAGAACAAATGCTGCATCATTTCTTTTATCTTATTTGGCAAATTATTTCAATAGAGGTCTGTATATACATAAAATATTTAAAATATCTATTGCATGTGTAAGTTGGTTATTTACTGCTGCTCTTTATGTATCACTGCATTAACTATATCTATATTTCCCACTGGAAATTAATGCTCTTAATTAGAATGAAAGAGATTACATATGTGTGAGCCACAACTTTAGATGTTAGCTCTTAACAAGAAAAGAAAACAGTGGTTAAATGTCTTCCGTGAAGCATAACTTCCTGGAAAGCCTCAAGCTGCAACTTACTTATTGATCAGATTGCATAATTGGATATCATATTCCCTGAAGGCACAACAGACACACTTGTCTTACACCAGTAGAAGTTGTACAAAGAGGGAGGGTGGGGTACAGCTGCTCCCACGGGTGAAAATAGATTAGAACAATTAACGATTCTCAAAGCCTTCATGAGTAAAGTTCATATTTCTATAAACTAGTAAAAAGTTAAAGGACATAACGTTAAGGTTAAACAAATTCTCTCAAACCCTCTTCAAGAAATCCTTGTCTTAAGCTAAAATGTGCTCTTAGCAGAAACACATGGGTTTCAACAGTCTGAGTTGTTCAGATTAAGTGGGTATCCTGCAGAGCTAGTGTTTTTCTTTTTCATTTTCTTTTTTCTTACTATCTTTTGCTTTTTAAGGAAACACTTACCTGGCTAAACCAGAGTGTTCAAGACTAGTATTAGCATCAGCTAAGGTCTGTAGATTTTGTCCTACCAGTCACATTCAGTTTGCTATAAGAAGGGATCTTTTTGTAGCCAGTATGAACAGAAACAATCAGTGAACAATAATTATATCAGCATACATATGTGCATGAATATTGCTTCAAGATAGACTTGGGAAAGTAACTACTTCTCTTTAATCATTGTGCTGCTTATCCACATTTCTTGTGCCAAATGTAGTCCAAGAGCTGTTATACAAGGTTCTAAAGTCTTACAGTAGGACTCGCAATGGAAAATAGTAGGTCTGACAAAATCTCAACACAAAGCATTAGGAATACCTATTCATGCATGTACTGTAAAGGGGTTGGTTTACAACACTACCACCACAAACATGTACAATGCAGCCCTGATATCTCTCCCAAAGGAATTAAATACCCAATCATACCTTGACTCATGTGACCCTAACAACACACATAATGGCCAGGTGGGGCAAGGATCCACATAATGGCTGGGCAACAGTTCACATGATGGCTGGGGGGGTTACCCAGCCGTCACTTCTATGACTATTAAGGTGTTAACAACTCCACAGAGGTTAAATACCTGGGACTACCCACCGATCAGTTAGAACTGAAGAAGCTTCTCTGATGTCAGGTGAAACGTATTCAAGAACCACAAGCAAGTCTGTCAACTTTAGCACTTGGATATGCAAAACCTTATGTTGTCGTATTGATGCTTTTATGATTTTTCTGACAATAAACAAAGTTCAGTGACTTTTGCCCAGTCACCCTCTATACTACATAAGATCTAAATGCCCATTGTTCAGGATTTTCACATACTTTCTCTTAAAAGACATTTATGCACAGTTTAAAAAATGTTTTTGTTCTACATAATCTCTATAACGGTGACCTGTATAACAATGATTAGTACAATACAGAATCTGTGGTGAGAAAAGGAGAGGAATGAGAGAGGCACAAGCAGTAACATTAAGGACAGGTTGTGTCAGAGTTCGGGGCTGATTGACACAAACACCAGTGGCAAACTGTATCCTTCTGCCTGCAATCAGCCTGCAGGGCATGTGTCGCCAGATGTCAGAAAAATTGCAGAAGTACTGGAGAGTTAGTAAGTATCAACTTGACAGCAGATTAAAGAACTAATAAATGGACTGTATTTATATAGCGCTTTTATGCACTGGCCAAAGAGCTTTACAGGGAGATTATACACCATTCACAACAAGGCTGCCACACAACAGCGCTAGTCAAACCACCGGGAGCAATTTGGGGTTCAGTGTCTTGCTCAGGGACACTTAGGCATGTGGGGAGACCGGGAGTTGAACCAGCAATTTGCTGGTCAGAAGACGACGTGCCCTACCTCGTGAGCCACAGCCACCCCAATAATGTCATTTAATTCAAGTGCTGAGTGACAGGAAACCCCAATCAAGAAAAGTAATACTGCAGGTAAAGCACTTTTGGACAAAAATTGTTGCTATTATGTTCATAAAATATCTCCTGAAAACTAAAATATATTATTTCAGTTCAAGTCAATTCAATTTTATTTGTATAGCTCCAAATCATCCAAAAGTCATCTCAGGGCGCTTTACAAAGTGAGGTCTAGACCTTACTCGTATTAATAATATTGATTTTGTCCTTGTTGAAAAGATGATGCATTACCTTCTGGAGAACATCAATAAACCTAATACAACTGTGGTAACTGGGCGTGTTCAGCTGTGGACTGTTGCATTTCAAAAAGGCAGATTTGCAAAGACCAGGATCTCAAACCAAATTTCTGGTTGAACAACATTTTCTTGTACAGTATGTCAGCCTGCTGCCCTTCACATTAGGCTCAGCAAATCTGCAAAAACTGGACTGGATTCCCATTACTGTGGGCAATCTGTTAACAGTTTTATAGGTACCCTACTATTTCTTTAGCAGAAAGGACTTCTAGTTTGTTGAGTATCTAGAGCAATATTTGAAAAATAGAACAAAACTACAGCTGTGTCTGTAGGTGTGTCCCAGTCTAGGGGACACATCCTTCAAGGGCTGCATTTAAAGACCAGCTGTGTCACAGCAGCGCAACAAGACCATCCCATTTCGAAGGCTCCTTGAAATGCAGCTGAGAAATGCGTCCTTCATTACCCAGACAATGAAGGCTCCAACTGGTGGATCCTTCCAGCCCACCCTATCCCTATCCCACGATTCTGAATGTGCAGTCAGAATGTAGAGCAGCTTTCAAATTTGCAATTCTTCATAAGACAGTGGTAGGAGCAAGAAGAGATGGTAACATAAAAGAAAAATCCTCTATAGACCTGACCTTCTTATATCAGTCCAGCCCATGGTTAGGCCTTTGTGGTCCACAACAACTACAAAGGCCACACTTTCATAGACTACATCTTTTGAGGGACATCAGTCCCCTGACTGACTGCAGACTTGTAAAACTTCATCAGTCACAGCCAAAGTACTGTTCCAGTTCAAAGTGTGCATCCAGCTGAGTGCATGTCAAAAAAACCGGAAGCATTCTTGGTCCACCCATTTTATCAGAGATACTCTGGGAGCTGACTTGTGTGGACTTGGGGTTGCCATATATCCAAAAATGCACTGTGTGTCAGCTGTTGGAGTTTGAGAAAGGCTCAAAGCTGTTATAGTTTTGTGTCCTAGGACTGGTGTTATGCCACTTTTTGAAGTTTTGTTATTTTTTTCAGACAGTGAGGACTTAGATTGAAAATATGTGGTCAGTTTATCAAGTAATGGTGAGTAAAACTTTGCTTTGATGTTTTCAGAGATGCCAGTACCTGCTAGCAGACCAGTTAGCTATAATTAGCAGGCAGCTACTGTACATCTCGTTCACAACATAGTAGTCTGTCAGCAAGGACGCCGGTGTTCCACTTGAACAATGAGAAGACTGCGGCCTCACATTCTCAGGGGTTTGTACTTAAAGTTGGTAGGTCCCAAAGCTGTGTTTGTGATTGAGACTCAACTAACAAGGTGCCAGTGTTGAATGTGAATATTAGTTTCTGTGCATGACAAAACCAAATGTGCCTGTTTTGTGTAACAGGCTACCACTAGACATAAATGCAAAACTGGGCAAAATTATCCTTTAATATATAGCGAATAGGACAGGTGTCGTTAGACCACATTTACTGGACCACATGTGCCAGTGTTCATCTGTTGTGTCCAAGTAAACTGACACATTTGAATTTTTACAAGATCTGATATTTGGTAGTGGATTAATTTAGATTGATAGTAATAGAAAATAACTGGTTTGTTGTTCTAATCCTGAATGTCAAAGCAAGATACGAGCTGAGTTACAATAAATGATTAGATTGTGTGTTTTTTTTTGATTAATGATTTATTGATATATTAACTTGTTGTGTTTACATTTGACATTACCTTCATGGCACAAAATCATGCTGAGAACATTCTTAGTATATGTTGAAATTAATATCTGTACATTTTTACCTTTACCAGTCGTTGTTTCAGTAGCAGCAGTATGGCGGTGCAATAGTGGGCTAACCATGGGAAGTTCACATTGCACAATTCATTCATGCAACAGACATTCAAGAAATATAATTGTGTGATTTGACTAATGGGGGCCTGTGCCTCAGTAGAGCTTTATGTCTAGCAATGCACCTGGCTAATAGGGGGCCTGTGCCCCAGTAGAGCTTTATCTCTAGCAATGCACCTGGCTAATAGCATTGCACTCATCATCATAAGTGCAATGTATTACTTGTTGTAAGGGAGTGTTTTTTGAAAAAAGTGTTCCACATTTTGGGAAATACACATATTACTTTCTTGCCAGTAGCTACTGTAGATGAGAGTATTAATAGTGCTCTCATAAATAATTCCAAACAAGAACCTACATCCAGTTTGTTAAGTTTAGACTAACATCAGGGAGATACAGCTAGCTTGGCTCCAGTGACAGATTAAAACATCTGCCTGTCAGCACCTCTGTACACCGCTAATTATGACGTTATTCATTATTCATTGTTTAATGCACACCAAGTGTGAAAACAACAAATTGCAGTGTTACAGAATGTTACATAATGCAGGTATTGTACTTCTTGGCTGGCACATTGCAGGTTTCTTGTGGTTACCTGGCAACTCCCAGTACCATATAAAATCACCACTGTTTGTTTTTCCAGCATACACATGAGAGAGGTATCACATTTATCGTCTAAAGTTTCACAAGAAAGTGAAAAGACATATTTCCCAAATGTCAAACTATTCATTTAGGAAGGTGGAATGCATGTGGACACAGTGATTACAAAGACTGGAATAATTCAGAAACCTAGGTATTTAACCCTTGAAAGGCAATTTGAGGATCATCAAAGGTCAAAAGTACAAGTACACAAGGCAAATGATTTTTGCTTGTAAAAAATTAATTCAACTAAGGTTAAAATACCTTTTGAATGATATCCAAAGTAAGCATCAAAACCTATTTTCATGTTCTACCCAAAGTGAAAGATTGATATTATCAATTTCATTTTGCAGTCTATTGGAAGGTAACATATCTACACTTAGTATCAAATGACACTTCATCTTCTTCTGTCTTATCACAGGGTGTGTATGAAGGGAGTTTGTGCATGTGTGTGTTTGTGTGCATGTGCAAGTGTTCTGCCCGTGCCCTCCTGGTCTGGTCTGGACTGGTGGATGTAATAAATAGCAAGTGGGAGGGCTCTTTGACAAGGCAGCAAGTTTTGCATAGGGCTGTGTGCCCAACCCTGGAGCCATGCAGGGAATGGCTTGTAACTGTCATGGAAAAACACCTGTATTATATAAGGACAAAATCCCCCCTTCGTTCTGAGAAAGGTCTGCCAAAATTGACCAGTCAGCAAGGATTAATACCCCTAAGACTGAAAATGGACCAGTTAGCAGGGATTAACACTCCTTAACCCTAAAACTGACTGATAACTTACTAAGCAATCATTTAAACCAAAATACAGTAATAGATAGTGTAAACTGACAAAGCAGGGATCTCCTAAATCTGCTGAAGATGAGATCCACAATTCCACTTCATTTCTTGTTCTTTATTTTTGTGTGAATTTTGTGTGTATGCATGTGCTGCCTCTGTTTGCTGCAGGACTGTCGGGTATTTAGCTTTGAACAGTAGGCTAACATTTGCTAGACTACAGCTGAGGAAACCTAGCAAGCAAATAAAAATTTGAAATAATCACAGTGTTGATCTTTATAATTGAATCTAACCAAGTTTAATGTCAGAATGAAGACTCAAGTAATGACACCAAAAAAAAAAAACTAAGGTGAATTTGTCGTGTTGCACTGCTTCATCTAAAGGTGCGTCCAGTGTGCCTAGCAGAACCAAGTCTAACGTTCAAACTACCTCTGTCTGCTGGTGAGCAGCTTGTGTACAGTGGAAATACGCTGTAAATAAAATAATAAAACAAGGAGTTAAAAGAGCTTTTAAAAAGCCAGTAGAGCTGGAATGGAACTGACAGAGTGTGGGTTTTAAAGTGTTTTTGTTTATTATTTTATTTTAATATTGTGCTGGAAGTTCAATGCTAGCATAAGTTGTTCATACACAGATTTGTTATTATATGTACTAAGTATTGTAAACTATATGTTTGAGATATTTTGAGATAGCCTATATTTTTTATTGAAGGGGATTATTTTACATTGCATATAAAAGTTGATGATGATTATGAAGCACAATATTATTATTGAAAAGCATTTACAATGTGTGATGTATTATTGTGTCACTTCGATGAATTAATTGTATCTTTTGAACAACAGCTTAATGCTCTTTTATTTCAAAAACATCCTTAAATCTCACAATGCTTGCAAGCTTGATTAGTCCAACAGTGAATGATCGTGAGTAAATTATGTGCAGGATATTTGTTCAGCGATTATGATGCTGTGATAAAGGTGCTGGGAAGAATGGACTGATTTTCTTTGGAAAGGGTGGAGGACCAATGTGTTTGTTTTGGTTTTGATTGTTTGTTAGATTTTTACTTAAATGTATGCCTTGTTTTAAATGTAATAATAAAAATGATCACATCTTTAAATTATCCTAAGTGACTGATAAATAAATGTGTTACTGCCGTGCGTCATAATGTCCTCACCACAGTAGGGGGTGCAGTCTTGGTGCTGTGCAGCTCCAGACTCCTCTTCCTCCTCAGCAGCTCTTTGACCGGGTCTCTGACTCGAACACCTTGGTAAGGTCTGGACCTGGACAGTGCCGACGATGGTGCTTGACAGGTTGGATACAGAGAGACAAAGAGATGAATATATACAGTGCCTTGCGAAAGTATTCGGCCCCCTTGAACTTTGCGACCTTTTGCCACATGTCAGGCTTCAAACATAAAGATATAAAACTGTAATTTTTTGTGAAGAATCAACAACAAGTGGGACACAATCTGTCTGTCACACACACACACTCCTGCAAACAGAAGTATATAAAATGTATTCACACACTGTTGGAGTGAGATGAAATACACAAGGATTAAAGGCACCCAACACCACAAAGTCACATCACAAAATGCCAAAACAGTCAAAAGTGCATTCATCAGTCTACATGAATTAAATCGATCGTTTCATGTATTTGTTTTATACAGTGTGGCTCCGATGGCATTAGTACCCCTGCAGAGGCAGATCATGAGGAATTGTTTAGTGTTAGGCTGTACCGGAGATCTTTGAGTTCTGAAAATCATTTTCGAGCTGAGGTTAACAATTGTTTAGGTCCTTTTGATGAAGGAAAGCAAAGCAACAAATTACTGAAAAAGTCTAGTTTGTGTTGGCCGCTACAAAGTATTAACTTAAGGGGGCTGAATAATTTTGCACGCCCAATTTTTCAGTTTTTTATTTGTTAAAAACGTTTGAAATATCCAATAAATTTCGTTCCACTTCATGATTGTGTCCCACTTGTTGTTGATTCTTCACAAAAAATTACAGTTTTATATCTTTATGTTTGAAGCCTGAAATGTGGCAAAAGGTCGCAAAGTTCAAGGGGGCCGAATACTTTCGCAAGGCACTGTATGACCTCATTTCCCTCTTAAGGCTTTGTCTTGTTCACATGATGGGTTCACAGAGTTCATGAAACGAGGCAGCACAGGTGCACTAAGGTGCATGTGTTCTCACTGTGAACACTGCCAAAAAAATCTTAAATGAGCTTTTTTTTCTTATACTGGGCTACATTATATTCACGTGTTTCTATATTTATGTCTTCCCCAGCTACATACATGAGAGAGTCCGAATATTAGGAACACCTCTGACCTACATTGTTGTAGTCCAGTACAACACCACCTTTAACTCCGACCTTAATAATAAATATATAATTGAGTTAATACATTTATGACAATTTCACCAAAAACTGAAACATTTTGAGCTTCATAAACACAGATATTAAGGTGGAAGTGTTACATTAAAGTACATACAGTTGCACAGGTGTACCTAATAAAGTGGCCAGTGAGTGTAGTGATTACTTGGTTGCATTTTGATGTCTACAGTGGCACCAGCTGTGGTTGCTGTTGAGTTGTGAACCATTGTACTCATTAAACATTTAATGGCCTTTCCACATAACAGCAACATAAAGATCTGTACTTGCACACTCATTTTCATTTAAATATTTTACTGATAAACAAGACTGAGTGCCTGATGGAGCCACACCAGCAGAGACTTGATGCTAAATCACCTCCCAGTATGTCTGAATGTGCAACAAATTTAGAACCAGTGGTTTCCTGTCACTGAATGTGAAAATGCAGGCAGTGCCACTAGTGAATACAGCCTGAGGCTACAAAGAGAGTAATGGCACTCTGTCTCCACAGCACTGTGTGAGCCTCCCAGGGGCAAAGGGTGATCTACACACCTAAACTGCTCTAGTAGGACACCAGACAAACAAAAAGTCTACAGGTTGCTATTTTACCTGTTTCATTTTTTAGCTAACGTAAAATAAAATGGAAAAAATATTTGAGAATCCATTTCCACAATTCCACATGTCTCTGCTTTAATGAATCAAATATAAGAATTTAGCAAAGAAAAAAGTCATCAAAGTGTAGTCGTCAATCAATTTAATATTTATAGGCACAGACAGGAAAGTCTTAGCATTGTTACATACTTGAACATGACCATGGGATTTTGTAGTTTTATGTGGGTTGCTAGAATTGTATTGTAAACAGAACCATGGACTTTGGCAGGGAGAAGTGAGGATGCCACTTCTAATGGCAAATATTACAAAGAAAAATAAAAGCTTGCAGCTTAGCGATGAATTTGATGATTTAATTTGATTCCCTTTATTATTCAGTGCAGCTTGGAGTGGATGGCACTGCCATTCGATGACTGATTTCAGACTAGTGCAGTGATAAAGCAGATCCACACTGACCTCAGCAAATTAAAGTGACATAATAATGAAAGCTGAAAAGTTCAGTTTTTGGCATGCTCAGCTAACAAGCCATTTGCAGGTCAATGAGCCCCTCTGGGGGCTCTAGTTTTTCTGAGGCCGTGCTGCAAAGTTGTAAAAGTTTTGAATGAAAAATTAACTCATCATGTCAGTCCAAGTCCCAAAGTCAAAATACCCAGAGGAGTGTTCCATGCTGCCTTATTTACATAAATGAGTCCCATCTGTGCGTCACATGATCACAGATGGGAAATCTATACCAGCAGACCCAAACATGAACAAAACTCAGTGCACTATTCTGGAGATTCCTCTTTTGGTGGGTTTGGCAACAACCAGTGGCAAATGTATCAAGTGTGATATGTTATTTATCACCAGAGCTCCATTTGACATGAAGTCTGAGTTGCCAAGTTTCTTTAATAGGGGCGGAATGTGCGGGTGGTGGTAGAAATAAGCCAGTGGTAAGCCTCATCTGTTGTACAGTTAAGTCCGTACAAATGAAATGGCATGTTCGCACAGGCAGCATGGTAGTTTTATGACAAGAAAGAGTGCATGCTTCAGATGCTGCAGTGAGCGTAGGCCTCGGGTCAGAACTTGTTCAAATTTTCACTCTTTTACTGCCCCTCTATTTGTAGCTTTATGTGTGGAGTGTGACATATGTTTTACATGCTCTTGTTTATTTTCACTCTGGGTCGATGCCGCTATCATAACACCAAGCTGAACCTGTAGGAAAATACAGCCCGATTTACCAGTAGTGTTGTGTTGTACAACTTCCCATTTACACTGCCTCCTGACTCTGTTTACTGGCATGAGCTTGGTTTTTATAGCTGACAAGTGGAGCTGCAGGTTTACAAACAGCTGTTTGGTAGTACAAGAAAATGATCCACCTGCTGGAGAAAACTCAAATTAAACACAAATTGCACAGCCAGCCATTCTAGTTTTCCTGAACCTCCACCTCTTTGCAGAAAATATTTGTTGTGATGTATGAACATGATACTCAACTGCATAGCAGATAGCATGCCAAGTTTAGCAGAACACCAAACAGTGTGATAAGGCAGTATCAACCTTTGAAAGAAATACACTGAGATATTTTTACCCTAAGATAATGGTTTTAGTTATTTACCGTTAATATTTCCCTGAAGAAATTGCATGAACTGAAAAAAATATCTTAGCTATGCAATAAGTAACCGGGCTCTACTCTAGCAGCTCTGGCATTGCACAAAACAGTTTTATCATATCACTTTTTGGTTGTATTTGCTTGTTGTTTGTGTTGAATTTAACACATTTTAAGTGGTTGACTTTGAGGACATAATCATTTAATCAGCTTGGAGAGTTGAACTCACAACCGCCACACAGGCAATTAAGAACATGACCGCTACTCATTTCAGTTCTCCTGCTCAGGATTGCCTTTAAGTCACCAGCCTCCGTCTCTGACCTTTAGTCTGTCACTGTTGTTTTCATCACTCAGATGTGGTCCACACTGCTGCTGTTCCTGACATCTGTTCTTAACCTCCGCCGTTAGGGTGACTCCGGCTTCCTATTTGCAGCTGACTGATTCGCCACTGTAAAGCAGACGAGCTACATGGACTCTCTAAACAAAGAGCACAGTGTGACAATGTGCCATGAGCAGTCGAGCCCATGTTGCTTAACAGAAACAGGGACTGGAATCACAACTGACCAATCACTAAGCTCCATCCTTCTTAGTTACTATTGCACATACGCAGTTTATAGTGTTAACCAATAGGCAAAGGGTGACTACTGTGATTTCTGCCTGAAATGACAACTTTGTTTGTTATTACTGTAGATATAATAAGGGAAAATGTAAAGTTTCTTATATTTACAAATTTAAATAAAGATGCACCGATATCAAACTTTTATTTTATGCACCCAATTTAACCACTTGAACAAACAAGACAGAGTTTTGTATTACTCTTTGTATTTAAAACATTACGTTTTGCTTTTACCATTACAAGCTTTTTGAGTGATGACTAACCAGTGTATCTGGCAAATGTGTCTGTATCAGGTTTGGTGGGCTTTGTTTGGGTGTAAACTTTGTCAGGTTCAATAAAGCGCTATGTTAGCCTAAGCTCAGATCCAATTTCAGTAGAGTGGGGAAATATAACAGTGTCTATTGTTAAGGAAGCTTTTTTAACATTATCTGACACCCTGCTACTGAAATGTTAATGTTTCCAGGTTACATTTGAGCAGATAAACACAGTTACTCCTTATATAGTATGTCCTCAAATTTGTCTGTTAAATAAACTATTTGTACTGTAAGTCTGCAAGATGTTATTCAAACTTTCAATTTACTTGGAATTGAACAGGGTGAAGCAGAGTTCTCACATCATGTTTCAGACCAAATCCAAGTGCTGTGCAGTATGTGGCATCTTGGAAATGCTCATTGTGGAGGTACAAGAGCAGCTCTAGTGTCGCAGGAGGTCAAGAAGTAAGGTTTCTCTCAGACGAGTGTAACAAATGATTTTTAAAGATTCCTGACAAAGGGCTAAAGGAGGGTGCTGCAAACATAGTTATGGTGCCTATTGCAACAAGTGATTTATAACAGCAATAACATAGTGCACTTAGTGACCTTCAGTTACTTTATATATCAGCACCGAAACTTAAGAGTTCAGTGGCAACGTTGATGTGCAACTTTGTATTTTGTTTATCCATGGTTGTTGCACATTTGGAAAGATCTCTGGGCAGAGTAAATGGATCAAGTCTAAACAAAATTTTTTTTATTACATGTGTAAAATAACTGTACAATTTCATGGTAAGAGGGTGTCTTGCCATGTTGCTCCCACACTGACTACTACTACTGAAAATATTTCAACAGAAAAATATCATAATTCATCTTTTTGTATCTAGCTGATTAAATAAGTAAGTAACTCAGTAAGCTGAGTGTTGAAAGAAAACACAAGGAAATAAATGTGTAAATGCAAAGTTAAAATAAAATCTTAGAGTCAAAATGCACTTGAAGAGGACACACTGTTGTCTTTCATCTCTCGGTCTTAAACAACCACAAATGAACACACACAAACAGACAAACACACCATGGCACATGCATGTAGACAACAGAAAAGAGGAAGCTTCACAGCTGTGCAAAATTTCACTGCGACGGAGGCTTAGCCACCATTTTGCATATCAAGATTACAACCTAATGGCAAAATGTAGCCAATCTCTAAATGATCACCTTCCTCTTTCCCAAAGAGTCTGATCCTGACACCGCTAACATCATATAGCATTGTTTCCTCCTGTTGGCGGGATTCCAAAAAAGTCCCTCAAACTCTCAAGTTAAAAATTTCAGTTACTTTTTCTTTTATTATTATTTATGGTATGTTTTGACAGGAGTGTCACTGAGTATATTGTAGGTTTGGGCTTTATTTATATTTCTGATGAGCAAACCATTGAATTAATTATGAGAATTAATTTCATTAAATTATTTAAGTACAACTGGCCAAAAATACAACAGCAGAAATTCAAACAAGTTGAGCTATTCAACCAGGTAATTATTTTAAAATTATTCTGTACGGACATGATTAAAAAATAAAATTGTATAAATTGCTGGGTTTTTGTCCTGAACTGCACCGCCCATGATAGCGTGCCCACTCACTCACAGTGAATATTTACAAACTGTACAACAGGTTAGATTAATAAATGCATAAGTGTATATAGATAAATGTGAATAAAGGCATTCCTTAGGATTTTACAGGTTTTATATATGCTATAAATAAAACAGCAATGATGTGTTGTACTTACATTTCTCCCAGTGCATACTGCTTATCTTGCAAATATTGTAGAGTTAAACTGAAGAAAATCAAAGTGGCAGGTTGACTGTTGTGCTTTATAACAGCCTGAAACTGGCTAACAATTCTCCTGGGATGTCACAGCTTTTCAAACCACAAATTTCCCTCATGCATCTAGCTAGTTTCACAGTTGATGATGATGTTGGATCATAAATACCATAGATAAACATTTTAAAGAGAGACAAAAATAATCGAGCAATGCCAAACTAAAACAGAGCTGAAGACAACTGGACAGTAGATTCCCCTGGATCACACATGTTGATGTTGTATGTCAAAATGTACAATAACTGTCAAGTCAAGTCATGAAGTTATGCTGAAGAACATATATAGCAAAAGTACCAAACATTGGCATGCTAAACATATTTTCATGTGGTATATGAAGGTAAAATCAAACCTATTAAAAATTGGCCAATTTAAAATAGATGTTTTAAAATGGCATGAATACATTCAAATGCATAAAAGACAAATAAATGGCAATGAATTAAAATACCCCTCATGCAAATAGTGTTGGTTTGAGTGTGACAAACTTCCTTCCTAAACCAAGGTATACTGTAGTTTGAGAAAACTTGAATCAAAAGTCACCAGAGTCTGTCGGTTACGTTCATAAACAACATTAGGAAAGTTGGTGCATTTAGATATGCATTAAACAGGTGGTATTATGGCCCATTTTTACCGAGTGTATTTTAATCTGTGACATTTCACTCCTCAAAGTTGTTTAGATTTCTCTAAGGCCTGTGACACACTAAGCCGACAGTCAGCCAACAGGCAGCTGACAGCCGCTGTCGGGCAATCAACTGTCACATTCAGTTGCACTTTGGTTAAAGGTGCCAGAGTCTGACAAAGAAGAAGAAAGTGTGGAACAAAAAATAGATTACTTGTTCTGTTACACTGATTTTGATCCTTTTTATGCCCATTATGAGTATGACAGTGTCATAGGTGTTCAATGCTAAATCAGTGAAGTACTAGTACCACAAATATGCTCTTGTTTCAAATTTTAAAAAATGTTTAAACATTTTGGGAAATAAGCTTATTTTCTTATTGTCAAAGAGTGAGATTAGAAGCTCAATACCAGTCTCTTTGTCAGTGTTTCAAGCTGGAGTCAAGACATGGTTAGCCTAGCTTAGCATAAAGACAGGAAACATGGGTACACAGTTCAAAAATACGCCTACCAATGCCAGGAAAGTTTTCTATTTACTAACTCATATCTTCTTTGTATAAGCCGTAAAGATTCAGAAATGCTAAAATGACTTGGGCTTTGGTGAAAGAGGCATGTAGAGCAGTGGTGGGATGTAATTAAGTACATTAACTCAAGTACTGTACTTGAGTACAATTTTAAGGTATGTGTACTTTACTTGAGTATTTTCATTTTCTGCTACTTCATACTTTGACTTCTCTATGTTTCAAAATCAAATATTGTGCTTTTTACTCCACAACATTTATCTGATAACTTAGTAGTTACTTTGTATAATCAGATTAATAATACAACATACACTATAATCATAAAACGTTGTCGATCTCTGGTGGTAAATTCTACTACCAGATCTACCGTCCTGCTGGTTAGCTTGTACCCAGCAGGACAGTACTGTATATATATAAGTATATAAGGTAGTTAATAAAAACTAGCTCCTCCTTTACCAGCTGCAGCATGAAATGTGATGTTCACAGTAATACATCAATAATTATAATTCACTAATTTGATAAACATTCATGTGGAATGTGCTGCTCTGCATAATGAGTATGTTTACTTTTGGTATTTTAAGTATATTTTTATGTTAATACTTTTGTACTTTCACTTAAGGTTTTAATGCTGGGCTTTTACTTGTAACAAAGTATTTTTACACTGTGGTGCTTTTACCTAACTAAGGAATCTGAGTGCTTCTTTCACCACTGATGTACAATACTAAAACCTGTGATTATAGACCTGCATACTTAGTGCATACTAACTCTGCTGTCCATCAAGAAATAATAGGTGACTCCTTTTAACCACAAATTTTTGTTTTGACATTTCTTTCTGTGTACAGGTTAAACACATGAATACAATGTGTTAATTAGGGACCTTCAGGGGCGTTGTCAGTTCTGATGTTTTGTGAGGTAAGATCAGATGTCACATTAAACCTGTTGCTTTCTGGTGCAGCAGTAGTTTAGTATACTGTAAGTGAATGTACCAGGTATTCTCTTGACATAAAACACAGTTCATGAAAAAGCATCACAAGTTGGTCCTAAAATAAACACTTTGACTCATAATACAGAACATAAAGACAATAACTAAATCAGATCCAGAACCATCTGAAACACTTTAGAGAGGCTGCTAATGTGTTTCTGCAGGTTCACATAAACACTCGGGTCAGATCAGATGAGCTGACACTCCCGAAATGAAAATAGATTAACTTGCAAATATAAGTTGGGGCTTGTTCAGGAAGTTCTTCCTACCATTTAAAAATAAACCCTGAATTACTAAGTTTTCCAATGTGACAGAAACCAGTGTGAGAGTGATATGAGACCTACAGTCAGATGTGTCTGGCTATGGCATTTTAAATAAGAATGTTTGTGCTGAGCTGTTTAGGCATGCGAAGAGAGTTAATTCAGCTTGTCACATGTGTTGTATAAACAGAAGATCTTGATAAGAGACAACAGACCTTAATTTATCAAAATCTTTCAGCAGG